GGATACCTTAGCTCTGCTCCGTGCAGCACACTGCTGATATAATAAATTGGTTTCTGCTGTCTAGCTTCTTCTCTCACCAGAACTGAACTAATGGCCTCATCTGAAATCCCCAGGTACAAATAAAGAAGTTCTCCATCTACAGCTTTAGTTAACAAAGGCGGAGAACTAAGATAAGACTTTAGTTCTTCAAATGCAGCTTGACATTCCTGGTTCCATTCACACTTCTTGTGCTTTCCTGATTCGTCTTTCTGGGCGGCCGACCTTATAATTTTGAAAAACGGTAGACATTTATCTGCTACTTCGATATGAACCGATGCAGAGCTGCCACCCTTCCAGTCAGCCTTTGTATATCCTTCACTGATTTCGGCGGTTCCATCTCGGCAATTGCTCTGATCTTCTCTGGATTGACCTCAATTCCCCTTCGGGACACCATGAAACCTAGAAATTTGCCGGACTCCACTCCAAAAATGCATTTGGCTGGATTTAACCGCATCCTGTTCTTTCTGAGGTTGTTAAAGGTTTCGTCGAGGTCGGCGAGATGGTCTTCTGCTTTGAGGCTCTTTACTACAATGTCATCGACATATACTTCCAGGTTCTTGCCAATCTGGGCGTGGAAGACAATGGTCACCATTTTCTGATAAGTAGCACCTGCATTCTTCAAGCCAAACGGCATCATGACATAACAATAAATTTCATCGCCAGCATAGAACGCAGTTTTCTCTTCGTCTTCTGGAGCCATTGGCACCTGGTGATACCCCAAATATGCGTCCAAGAGGCTTAACGTCTCATTGCCTGAAGCCGCTTCAACTAGTTTGTCAATGCTCGGCATTGGATAGCAATCCTTGGGGTAGGCGTTGTTAAGATTTGTGTAATCAATACACATTCGCCATTTGCCATTGGCCTTCTTCACCAGAACTGGGTTAGCCACCCATTCACAGTGATCAACTTTCCGGACAAAACCAGCTTGTAGGAGTTTCTCTACCTCTTCTTTAATAGCCTGAAGCCTCTCCCCCCCGAAGAGACTGCGCTTCTGGGCCACTGGTTTCTTCAACAGGTTGGTACTGAGCTTATGTTGATATACTGAAGTTGGAATTCCTGGCATATCTGCCGAAGTCCACGCAAATACATCATTGTTAGCTCGGAGAAAAGCTATCAGTTCTGCTCTCTCCTCCGGGTTCAATCTAGTTCCGATCTGCGTTTTTCGGCTCGGATCTCTGTCATCAACGAGCACTTCTTCAACATCTTCGACCGGAGCAGCTCTGGTTTCATCTTCCGGTTGATTATCTACGATCTCAACACCCATAACTTGCTGATTATCAGAAATTTGCTGGGGAATGGCTTCGGGTGTCTGAGTTTTGCCCTTCATGGGTTGTGTTACCGAGGTGATATAACAGTGTCTGGCCACCTCCTGGTTTCCTCGCTATGTTGCTATTTCCATAGGAGTGGGGAATTTCATGCAGAGGTGAGATTGGGAAACCACAGCTCGAATTTCGGTCAATGTGGGTCGACCAATAACAATGTTAAAAGAGGACGCCATTTTGACGACTAGGAACCGGACCGACGGGGTTATATAGGTTCTGCCACTTCCAAAAGCCACATGGAGAGTAAGAACTCCTTCTACCAGAACAGGCTGGTTGTTGAAACCATAGATAGGACCATCATACTTCTGCAACAGAGCTGGATCTAATCCCAGACTCTCGAAACAGTGGAAATACATGATGTATTGTGCACTCTCGG